TTAAAAAATTCATGTTGAATTGAAAGATTTATAAAATAAGTCACTTTTGCACTAAAACTGTGAATATGTAGGATTTTGCTGTTTGAAGTAGTAAATTTATACCCTTAATGTGCATACCCGAATTAAATATTTCACTGAGGTATTCTTCTATGTATTACCTTTCAACTGGGCAAGAAAAAAATTGAAAAAAAATAAATCACCCAAACTTAGTTTTGGCGCACTTTGGTTCCTCCCTGGCCCACTGTGCGCCGCTTTCCTTGCTGTCCTTTCATACTGCCGGAACAAACACAGCTGGTTACGAAAAAGCGCGAGTACACTGCGACCTTTGACCATTTTCATCGGTCTTTTAATCGGTGTTTTCTCAATGTTTTTCACAGTGGCTGCTTCATCGGTGTCACACCGATAGAAAGAGATCAAAATGAGATGAAAATGCATCAGATGAAAATCAGGCCAGTTTTAGCGCCCTCCCCTCGCCCTACAATTTGTTATTCTCTCTTCTTGAAGAGAGGGGGATGGGGGATGCATGGGGGATGCATGCAGTGATGAATGTTACTGTACATACACTCATATTGCCTACACTGATGTACCATTTCATGAATCTGATCATATTCATTCCGATCAGGGCTGGGCATTATATTTCAGCATGTTATAATATTATTTCTGGAATGCTCCTATAACGTGACAGATATTTGTTCATGTTTCAAATCCCAACGATTGGTCATGCGTAATAATAGCCTTTCTAATACGGTTAAAGAGATAACATACCTTTGGACTTGGTGTGTAGACATTCAAATACAGGCAATCTTCCGACATGGTAGGGTAAAGAAAAGTAGGGGCCTGTTGACATACTGGGGCAAACTCAGTCGCATTTCGATCATCCTGCCACGTCGTCATGGGCTCGGGAGAAGCGAACCGGGCTGGGGGGCTAGCGAATGGAACACCCTATAATTGGAAGAAAAAAGATAAAATCAATAAAAACTGCATTTCCAATAGAGGTTACCGAATGAAAAGGCAAGTATTTGTGACTTTTTTGAATCATCTTAAATATTTTTTCTAAATCACCTTTTTCACGCTCAAAGGCATGCATTAGAAAATTTGGAACCTTTGTTTTGTATGATTGTATTGCGTGAGATATCTTTCGGACTTAAGCCATCACCTCTACCAACGCAATATTATCATGGATCCGTCCATATTAAATTATTAACTCATTATCTTTCCTATTCTATATGTATTGAAAATAGTTTAATATACAGTGCGTCCCAGAAAAAACGAAACCGAGAATTATCGATGTTTTATCATAACTTAATCGCATTTATATTTAACAAATGACACATATTTGGAAAGCTTAGATCCTCCTCTTTCATTTGATGCAACTCATTATGATGCATATTTCATGCATGAGTGAGTAAAATCAATTTGAAGAGAGAAAACCGAAAAGTAGTTTGGCGGGCGGTATCTGAATTTCAAAGAGAAAATCACATTTCTAAAAGGTTGGGTTTCTGCCCTTTCATATGACACCTCAATCAGGAAAAATGAGCAAGGAATGACAAAGTTCTGTTTGTTTAAAGTAGCCCTTATATTTTCATAATTTTAGCAAACAAATTCGTTTTCACTGGCTGCCTGCCGTAGCAAAAAGCAGAATTGACAAAAAACTCCGTTTCGTTGACAATCAGCCATGCATGATGCTTTTCGTCTACGGCTGATTGTCACTCATGCGTGAAATATGCATTATTATGAGTTGCATCAAAAAAGTGAAAGAGGAGGATCTAAGCTTTTCAAATATGTGTCATTTTTCAATTATAATTGTGATTAAGTTATGATGAAACATCGATAATTCTCGGTTTCGTTTTATCTGGGACGCACTGTATAATATGCAAAAATCCATGACTTCTTACCAAGAACATATCGACATCTTTGGTCACGTTTATAAACTGGTTCTCACTGAATTGGACGGTCTTTCCCACGAGATTTCCTTCAATGACTTTTACGCTAGGGTTTTGTCCAGATACAATAACGACAGTAGAGACGAAAATCGCCAAAACTTTACAAATCGGCTTCATCTTTCCTAAATTCAAACGAAATAGCTTCCTGGAGATGTGTTTATAATGCAGTCCCCAGCGTGTATGATCCACATATCTTATGACTCACATATTTTCGTTTCGTTTTTGTTTACTTTAGATTGATTAAACAGTTATTCATTAAAAGAAATATCTGTCATATCACTACTGCTCCAAAACCAACAGTGTTCAAGTGCATTTTTTCATGATAGGCAAGACGGTTAATCTTCGATCTTTGTACTGTCCTTGTGCACACGACGTGTTCATCCCCTTTGTTATCGTTTTACTCCCTTCAATATAACCCTCTCTCAAAAAATATTGAGAGCATTACAGCCCTTCCCTCTTTCTTCTTTTTCCTCACCTTTATTCGTCTTCAATCCCCTTCAATTCAGTGCGTTAGCGCTAATTATCGATGTTTTACCATAACTTAATAACAATTATAATTAATAAATGACACATATTTGTAAAGCTTAGATCCTCTTTCATTTGATGGAACTCATATGATAAATATTTCACGCATGAGTGATTAAAACAATTTGAAGAGAGGGTACCTAAAGGCATTTGGCGGGCGGTATATGAATTTCATAGACAAAATCACATTTCTAGAAAGTTCATTTTCTGCCCTTTCATATGACACCTCAATCGGGAAAAATGAGCCAGGAATAACATAGATCTGTTTTGTATAAAGTAATGCTTGCTTTTCTATAATTTGATTAAATGAATTGGTGTTCAATGGCTGCCTGCCATAGCAACAAACAGAATTGACAAAAGATTTAACTCCGTTAAGTGGACAAAAGACTTGATGCATGGCTGATCTTTGACGAAAATTAACTTTTATGTGATTTTTCTCTTTGGAATTCGGATACCGCCCGCCAAATGACTTTTGGTAAAACGTCGATAATTCTCGGTTTCGTTTTTTTTCTGGGAAGCACTGTATGATAAAAGGAGAACATCACAGCCCTTCTCTCTCCTCTTTTTTCCTCACCTTTGTTCAAGTTTCATCACCTTCAAATATAACCATCTATCTAAAAAAAAGAAGCGAGAACACCACAGCCCTTCTCTCTCTCTCTCTCTCTCTCTCTCTCTATCTCTCTCTTCTTTTTCCTCACCTTTGTTGCATTGACGACTTTTCGTCAATGCCTCGTTTCCGTTCGGGTTCTGAATTCTTCTTCTTCTTCTTCTATTTATATCATGCGCGATTTTTGGAGCGTGACATTCGGTCGGGGTGTGTCCCATGACAAAATCAAGATACTGTGATGAAAGTTATGCAATTTACGGTTTTAAGGGCTCAATTTTTAAAGAATTTTAGCAATTTTTGTCGAATTAAATTTCAGATTTTAATTTCGCCTATGAAGGTGGCATTTTCAAAATCAGGTTATTCGTCGCCACCGCATATGAAAGAACATCTCTTGGACTATTTATAGGAAATCATTCGAAGTCTGTAGCATGAAGGATTGTGAAGATACGAAGAAAGAAAGAAAGGCCATAACACGGACCAAAAACAGACAAAATGGCGCCTAGACGGCTACGCATGAGCGATTAAAAAAACGATGAGTTAAGTGACCTACGGGAGGGGGTTTCAGGGGTTTAACCCGTCCCCCTCCCCCCCCCCCCAAGCTCTTATTACCAGTCATGTGAAAGAATATGTTTTGACTTATACGCGATGATACAAATTTTTCCCGGGGAACCGCCTATAAATTTATATATTAAATTATTATATCAGATTCTATCCGGACCGGATAGATATCGCGCACGTGTCGCGTAGTCCCATACACATCTTTCTGTGTACAGTGCTTGTAACTTTACCAAGACTGGCCAAATTTCATATCATTTTAAAGATTCCAGAACCTTGCAGTACACACCAAAACTTATATGCTTCATGATCAACCATTTCTGATCGATTTCACAACGTTTCTTTCACAATGCAATCGCATAACCAGAATTGGTCTTTACCTTTAAGGTCACTGGATTTATCGTTTTCCGAAATCTCTCTCTCTCTCTCATTCTCTCTTAAAAAAACACACCTTAAAAATAAATATATCTAGATTTGTCCATGATATCAGCAAAAATCAATAAAGATCGTAGCATGTGTTCTTTGAAAGAGCTACAATGTTTGTCAGTAATTGATCAACAAGAGATATTGCATTATAATATTGAGCAGATGTTTCGTAATGGTTTGTTTTCCTAATTTTCGCGTTATGTCGAAATGGATGGCATCCCTTACACATAACCAGCTTGACTTGATTAAACGCTCATTCTGACATTCACCATTTAAGTAGCATCGTCTTGGAGGCTTAAGTTTGAATAGAAAGTTCACTTAGTCCATGAAGTATCATGATTGATTAATTTGTGCAAAGGAGTCAGAAACTTATCATTCAGAGTGACATAAGTCAATTATATCAAGGTAATAAATAACCAGTTATAATGATGCATAATGTACTGACTTTTTACAAATATGTAAACGTTATAGATTTGCTCATTATATTTGGAACAATAAGGGCTGACGATAAGATCTTAATAGTTAATCGACGATGAAATTGATACAAATGACTATGTAAAAATATAACAAATAGCAAATTGTGACTCTGCAGAATTTATTTCACGTTGAAAAATGATCCATAGATGAATAGTATTTTTCATCAACATAGTTTCTGAGTGAGTTAGTCACCATCGTGTGAATCTATGCTGCCTCTGCGCTGAAATAACTTTGCGTTTTAGAATTCCTTGATAATTTCATTTAGAGAAAATATATAGGTATATGTAAAAATTGTGCATCTTTTCCAAATGCATCACTTTATACGTTATCAAAATATTTACAATATGACTAAAACTGTACTGCGGGTATTTATACAAAAACAATATTCACGGCATCAAATGGATTTATAGAAGATTAACGCATGTTCGTGATTTTGTTTGTTTATATATTTTTAACTAACTACTAATCTAGTTGCATGTTGGTAGCTGCTGGTAGTCTTCAAATGCGTTCTGCCAGTCGGTCATTTCATCCTTCCAGTCGTCGTAGCTCTCTCGCCATTCTTTCTCATCTTCGTCGATCGTTTCTAAAGATTAAAACAAGGACAGATTTTAAGTAGTAGTAGCATATGATATATCTTTCTACTTAACAAGATATTAGGAATGTCAGAGCAGTGTTTAATCTTTAGAATGTGTTACTAGACCACTAAATAAAAACCAAGGTTAATATTTAGAATATTTAAATGCAGGTCAGAAAGCAATTAAATAATTTCTGCCAAGGTAACAGGTATTTCACAGTTCTTGTTCGGTATATATGTTAGTACTTACGTAGTTTTCTTTATCTGTTCTCATTCTATTTAAAGTAAATACCCTCATACTGTTGAAGGACCGCAATGGCTCCTCGCTGCAAGCAATAAACAAAGAATTGACTCACACCAGCTGGCTACAGGCATTCCTAATGTTGAACAGAGATCTTAAGGTTGTGCCATCGACTAATAAAACCCTGAACGTATCTTGAAATATTGGGGTGAGATGAGCACTTACATAAATGGCGATTTATGAATTGTGAGCAACAAAGTGTCGGAATATAATTTATGATGCCCAATCAATTCAAGCATTCTTACTTGCAAATGCCTCCAGGTCGGGTATGTATTCGTTCCAGAAACGGCACTGCCTTGCCAGCACAGCTCTGCCTTCACCCAAGTCTAGGGAAAGTTCCTTGTGTTTGAGCTCAGGGATCGTGTACAAAGGCCAAGAATCCTCTCCTACTCCTGCTTCTCCATCTACACTAGACTTGCTGGGGTCACTACGGATGAATATAATGAAATACAATACCAGGCCTTCTTTTTTCTGACTATTTAAAAGATACAATTCCACAAATAATGGCTATATTATCTTTATTTTTTGTATTATAACTGATTGGGGATGTGCAGGTGGATCACTACACCAGAGTTTCCCCTACTCTTATACCAACAATGCAGTGGGTTCTTGGTATGCTTAACGTATAAACTTGGTTACCATCCTCTACATAATGATGTATGTGAGGCCTCCATTTAACGTTCTGTCCAAAGAACGGGCGTTGTCCACTAATTCCCAGATTGCGTCTATGAGTCAAGGGATGGTCAATTTGAAACAATAACGCAAACCTCATGTATCTGTAGGAGTTGGATTCGAATCCACGATCTTTGGTTCGACAGGCAAACGCTTTATACCGCCTCCTTCCAACTATACACTTAATATCCTTTTTCCTAAAAGATTGAATTCTGGTGCAAGCTATAGTCAGGGAGACGATCTTGGAGGTCAAATAGATGTCCTGTGTTAACTAGAGAGGTTTTTGCATCAGTGGACACTCGTGAGCTATGAACCAAGGTGCTCTATATTGTGGTCCCAATTTATACAATTTAGAGGTTCTTTCATGTACATTTTCACAAATGTTCACTGATCTGCTTCTCCCATTTTTCTGTTCTATATACATCCAACCCTCAAGCAAAATGGACTTCCTCTTTTAGAATATTTTGAACATACAAGACTTTACGGTGGGTTTAATTTAGCTCCGTTTAGATGGAATGATTATTCTTAACTTACCCTGACTTTGCAAAGTTTGTCCAAAACTGCATGAATTTCACGGATAGGGCGTTCTCCTCATCTGTCAAATTGTGTCCATGAATATGATAAATCTCATCAATAAACGGATGACCCCAAACAAAAGTCAGATCCTCTGCGTGACCCGCTCCAAGAAAAGGGGTGCTTGGAGACTGATCTCCATTAGCGAAAAAACTCCTGTAGATAAATGCATAAAATAGTTATGACAAAATATATTTAAAAAACAAAACAAAGAGGGGTATGCGATCATTAGAGTTATAAAATCAAAGACCCAAATATGCTTACTTTGAATGAATAGGTCTATTTGCTTGATAACGAGGTACCCATGCGATGCTAAAGTCCTAATAGCATATCGATAATAAAGCTTTATATCATCTTTCGACGCTAATTTTGAGTGAGCAAAAGAAGTCAAGGGAATAATGAGGAAAAAAATAAAGGTAATATAACTGCAGACGATCCTAAACCATGTGAGGGTTGTGATTAGCAGGGCCGGATGAACTAGTTACATACAGCCTAAAAGCCCCGTGCATGTGATCGTGCCAGTCTTCATACATTGATCAGCCGTCGGGTAATAGATAAAATACAGTTCTGGTCAATATGCGATTGTTTTTTTTTTAGAAGGAAGCTGTCTAGAAGCAATTAGCAAACGTTCATTCGGTAGCTCATAAAAAACTTTTGTTTACCATGAGGTTTTAGACTCATCAGAGTTATAAGAAACTGACTCTGTCTTGCTGAATGTCACATGCACTGAATATACAAATGTGCATATTACACCGCAACGACGGGTGGCATAGGCGCCGGAAGTTGGGGGGGGGGGGGGCAGGGGGGCACTTGCCCCCCAAACAAAAAAGTGGGGGGCAAAACGCATTTTTACCCCCCCCCCCCCCCCCCTCCAAAAAAAAGAAAGAAATGCAGTAAAGGAGTAAAGATGGTTTGTATTTTTAAGCCCAAAAGAACATAACAATAATAAAAACCGGAATTAAATCACATATAAAATTTAACAGGAATCCAATTTTCTATACATTCCGCATGCCACCTATATTTATCAATAGAGGTTTGTTATTATAGCGATAGGCGCATATCGTGGAAATATTATGAGAGGATGGGAAAGCGTGTGTGTTTTCTTTGTTATAGGGGTGAGAAGACATGAGCCCCTGAACACTGGCTTACTGATGGGGGGTATTTCTTATTCGATACCACTGACTTACAAATATTGCTGAAATGACATGATTTTCCGGTATTTTTTCTCTATTTTTTTTTAGTCATATACCTCTTCATGAGTTTGTTGGAAAATTAGAAATTCCATAATTTACAGTCGGGCCAAAAATATGCTTATTTAAAAGCCTTTACGTCAGGGCCTGAAGAAACGGCTGGGCTCGGGGGCTCGAGCCCCCCTCACTTTTTGAAAAAGTATGTTACAGAGAAAAAGAAAGAAAGAGAGAGAGAAAAATTAGAAACCTGCCAATGTCACAAAAGAGGTATCAAAATATGCTCATCTTACCGTAATTAAATGCTTAAAACCCTAGAGCTTACGGGGGCTCCGCCCCCGGACACCACCAAGAGCCCTAAGACAGTCCCCTGGATGCCCATATGACCGTATAAAAAAAAACGAGTTTCCGGGGACTCTGCCCCTGGACCCCCACAAGGGCCCTAAGGCGGGCCGATGGATGCTCATCTGACCGTAATTAAATACCTAAAAAACCCTGAGCTTTCGGGGGCTCTGCCCCCTGGACCCTCACTAAGGGCCCTAAGGTGGGCCCCTGAATGCTCATCTGACCGTAATTAAGTACCTGAAACCCTTAGCTTCCGGACCACATCAATTGCCTTAAATAGTGCCCCTGGATCCTCATATGACCGTAATTAAATACCTAAAACCCCTGAGCTTCCGGGGGCTCTGCCCCCTGGACTCCCCGCCAATTAGTGACCTAACAGTGTCACAAATAAGGTATATAAATATGCTTATCTGATTGTAATTTAATGCCTAAAAACGCTGAGCTTTCGGGGGCTTCCAAACTCTTTTGCTCATTACGCCACTGCCCCTGGAAGGTGAGCCCCCTGGAACGTTTGTCACCCCCCCCCCCCAATTCCAAACTGCTTCCGGCGCGCCTGACGGATGGCATCAAATTTTGATCTAGACATTTCAGTCGTTTTCTTCTTGACATATTACAAATGTGATAGTATTTGAAAAGCTAATTTTTTCAGGGGACATTTAGTTGTCTATGATACTCTTCACTTCTAATATATACGTGTTTTTTTTTTAATATTTAGAAATAATCACAAATTACCTTCCCGCAACTCAACCTTTTCTTTAAATGTCTTACTTGGACGGAGCATGTGTCATGTAATATTTGTAGACGGTACCACCGGCTTCTACATGTCTCCTCATTACAGAGTCGGATGGGGAGGCGAAGTCTGAATCGGTCCCGAAGTTCACCCACGATTGAAAGTAATCACTTTCCGGATCATCGGCCATCGTCCAGTCGATGTATTCCTGCAACACAGCGTCGTAGACGATCTCATCGTCCTTACCGTAATTAGTCAAGCTCTGTTTGACCACTCCCTCGAAGTAAGTGCGATTGACTGGTGGTGGAGTCGGGCTCCCGACGCGTCGGGAGCCCGACTCCACCTTTCCAGCCTACGTCGCGACGTAGGCTGGAAAGGAAAAGAAGGGGATCAGGGTTCCTTCGTCCTTGTTGAATCCGATAAGGATTGGCACGTTAGCAAAGTCTCCCATCGTATAGACATTGGTTGGGCTGTCGTCTAAAAAGAAACCGTCCAAGGTCACCGGATACTCCGATCCGTAAACCTATAAATACAGAAACAGTTTTAGTCATAAGAAATATGTCTCCTATAAATGTCTGGTACAAAGGTCTCCTATCAAAGATTGGTCATATTTCTTCTGGAAATTTGCCGATATTTTAAGGTATAAACCTTTAAAAGCACATTTTCGAGATTAGAAAAGAGAAATGCGTCCTATTGTTACATCTTGAAAATGATAAGCAGACATTTAGACAAGAAGAAACCCATTTCCTTGAAATAATTTGAAGGCTTTTGCCAAGGACATCGAGATTTAGAGTTTTACAGATCTTCCGAATTGCTATATTTCTTTTTTTTAATTGAAGCCATATACAGGTTTCTATCTGGTGGGTGACAGTCTCATCTCAAAATTAAACTACCAACGCTCAACAAATTCAGCCTAGTTCTTAAAAGATTGTCTAAAAAAATATATTGTTCTACGAAGCAATGCTGTACCAGAGACAGATATTTTAAACAGTATCCCAAGGACATTACCAATTGAGATGACAAAACTAGATTGCTAAAATCTTCATTCATAAAGTGACATTTTAAAGTTTTGAAAATATTAAAATGTGAAAATACTTTATCGGCTGCAGTGCTCAGTTCCACGGCGTTTGCATTTCGAAGGCAGGAAACCAAAGCAGAGGAAGAGACCTATCTTCACAACCCATCTCTCGTCCAAGTTCTTGAGCTTTCTCGAGCTCCGCGACTGGATCATCTTTGAAAGCCCATGGTCTGAACACTGTTCCACTCTGTAGGGATTTAGTTAGCATTTTATGTTTTTAAAAAAAATGAATCAGGGTCGTTGATGGGTAAAATCGTATACCTTTACTTACGATCTATCGTGCTTCTTTATTACCATGTGGCTGAGGAGTATAATTTCATTCAATGATGCGTTTTCTTTTCCTGAATCATAAAAAAAATACCTTACTCTAGTTGAAAAAAGAAGAAAGGTTAGATAAGCCTGAAATGATCACGAACTTAAATGGGAGATTGAAATCGTAATCGCATAGATATCTAGGCATCGTGCAACCACATGACATGACACAATTCCTATTTTAATCATAAATCATGAATGACAAAATAATCTACAAACCTGATGTATTGCTTGATTGAAAAATTGTCTGCTGAGTTTGGAGACGAGATGGAAACTAACGCTCGCTGATCCTGAACTTTCTCCAAAGATGGTGATTCTGTTTTTATCACCACCGAATGCTGGAAAATATTGGGGGAAAATATGGCGGATCAAATACACGTAAAGACTTTTAGATTGTTAAGTTAAGTATACTGTACTACACATTTGACGCTGAGTTAAACGCTTTCAAATCAATAAGTTAAGAACTATACGGTTAACGTTAATTCAAGAACTGTGCAAAAAAAAAATTGTTATGTTAATTGGTGGACCTCCTATGTTAAGTTAAGGCCTTTAAGATTAAGTATTTTATCTCTGATATCAAGCTAAGGAAATTACGACTGTTAAATACTGTACCTTCGATGTTGTTGTACACCCATTCCAAAGCAGCAACTTGATCCAACATGCCATAGTTCCCGGGAGATTCTTCATCCTCTTTGTGAAAGGAAATGCGAAAACATGCAAAAATAACAAAGAAATTGAAATATTTACCTCATTTGATATAATAATATAGTAATGACTATATAAATGAATATAGTAATGACTGCTTTGAGAGAAATAGTTGTTTTTATACGCTCAAGGGAAGGTTAGAATTGTGCTATTACCCGAGGCGTGCCGAGGGTGATAGCCCAATTGTAACCTTCCCGAGAGCGTATAAAAACAACTATTTCTCGAATATTAAAGCAGTCATTAATACTTTTATATGCCGAAAAAAAAAAAAAAAAAAAAAAAGAAAAGAAAAAAAAACTTTTTTCGAAGATGAGATTCGATCTCTTGCGTACAAAAGATGATGTAACCAAAATCAGCGCCTCAAACCGTTCGGCTATCGCGCTCTGTTGCCATTCATTGCATTTTTTCCTTATATATACATTAAAATGGATTGAAACGGCTTCGCGTGGTGGATGCTTCGCGGCTGCTCCATTAAACAGGCCCTTATTTTACTTTTGCAATGCATATTGGCACGAATTTAGATCAAGATTTATCGGCTGATGTTTTTTTATGTTTTTTTTGGAAGTTTATTTTCGTCTTCATGTCAACAATGCAAGATAAAATTGTCGGTAAGATCGATCGAGATTCAATTGAAATTACCGACCAATTCTTCGCACACGTACGGTATCCTCGATCGCTCAGACCATTTTTTAACATGTAAACCTATGGGGTAACCATGGAGACTGACCTATTTTTCCAATAACCATGGTTATTGGGATTTTGAACTGTTTTTTAACCCTGGTTACCGGGAATTTTCGGGAACAGTTAAAGTTTATGGATGCAATTTCGACCAATCAGATTGCTGGATTACTTAAGTGAGGTATATGTATATTGATACTTGTTCATTAAATTCTTAATAATCAAAGAGGAGAGGCATCGAATTTACATGATGGCAAACGGAGCTTTGAGGAATGTCACATCATTTCGGCGGATCCAAATAAAACCCATTCTGGCAAACCTTATACATTGGAAAGTACAAAAATGAAATGTGCCTTAATTCGAGTCTGACAGAGACACATGTCTGAAAGAAAATACGTAATATTCTAAAACAGGAATAAAGTTACACTGTAGGTTAATATAAGTGAACTTGTTATAAGTTCAAATTACAACATGAAGATATCGCTACAAACAATACTATTCTCTAAAAGGTAACAAAAGGGTTTTTCTGTTTGTTTTTTAATTTTGCTAGATAAGATGTAGTGACAAAATGACATTAAAAGTCTGTAGAATTGGGACGTAAAACACAATTAGTCAGAGTCAAATGATTTTTTGGTAATAGAAAGTTTATTCTTCAGAGAAGAGATGACGTCGTTCAGCCCATATACCCATGGTCGTGGACAGGACCCGCTCCCAGACTCCTTCACCCTCACACGTTACGCGTGTCCATGTTATTAAACCAGTGCCACACCCCCCCCCCTTTTTTTTTTTGACTGGACCAACTCTACTCTTTTTCTCTAAACATGCTTTTTTTTTAAATATATGATTTTGTTGTTAAATGACTTCTTGGCTGTATACCTACCGGTTGAAAACTGAGCGAAGATCGCCAGGCGGTAGTTGATGGTTACTACTATGACATCACCAACAGCAACCAATGGAACTCCGTAGAAATCGTAGTCCATAGCCGAACCAGATGTAAACCCTCCTCCATGTATCCATACCATGACAGGTATCCCTGATTGCTAAAATGAAGAAAAAATAGTAATGAATAGAAAATCCATGAAAATGACTGACCTATAGTTTCATTCCATGACCTAAAGAAATTACACCACATTGATTAATATATCGGAAACAGAAATCAAAACTATGAGTGTTCTTGAATCTAGTATTTCAACGTTATCATGATTATGCGATCGGCTTCGATTTATCGTCAATCATTCAGGATTGCATTTGAATATGCCCGTAGTATATTTTCACCTACTTGTTTTCATTCTTTATATTTTAGTTCTTTTGTTAAAATTGGCCTAGTGTTATCGCAAATGTTTGGGTCGCCTAATAAACTTTAAGATACCAAGATTTAAACCCTCGGACGCCTGGTTAATTATCGGTCTCAAGTCGGGTTTACCAAGACCAAGATCTATCCAACGTTCAACTAGCCTTTTGACAAGGCCTCGTGACTCTGGCTAAGCGGCCGAGATGAGTCTAGATACCCGGAGTGAACTCGCGACCGAGTGACGAATGTCAAGAGGCCTTTTGCAATGTGAATTCACTGCTCCGCATGAATTATTCATAGATACATATTAGCATGCCAATACGCCTACTTTGGATTTATTGACCAATCAGAACGGCGATCTCCCAGTTGGCTTCGTTCGTGATTCGTTCCATGTAGAGGTCAGTGGTCTTAGCACGTACGTAATAGTAGGCATGTAGGTCCATGTTCGCACTACGTAGAGTTTACTCTGTGTGTGTGTGTGTGTGTGTGATGGATACTATATGCTGACGTCGTGCGAGGATACGTTCGCTGATTGGACGCTCCATTTTCTGAAGCGAATTCCAGTCGGAAATAAAGGTTAACATAAGAAATCCAAAACCAGATTGATAAAGGCTACTTGTCTGGGCAATTCGCACTGGCGTTCACTGAGGTTTTCGCGATTAGTCTCGTTTTAGTCGCTCGGCGTCTATCAGACAAGTGGCCTTGTTTAAAGGCTAACGTTCAACATGATTTCAGTCCTTGGATAAACTGAAGTTGTAGAATACTAGTAGACTGGATCTTTAACTAGAGATCGGCGTAAGTTTTATAACATGTAAATTTTATCGTTTAATGTTCAGATATTACTTTCTTTATGTAGACTCTCATTACTGCAGATAGCCGCCGGAATTGTAAATAATAGACTAAGAGGCTGTTCACACCGGCAGAGATAGCGCGCGCTAGACCGCGCTATCTCTGCGGTGTGGGAGGTACAACGTCGTTTTGGTCCGCCTAACAGCGAGCCACGGCGAGCCAAAACGGCGTACCACTGGAGCAACTCTTGGGGGTGGTCCACGAGAGATAGCGCGGTCTAGCACGTGCTAGAAAAAAGGGGGTGCTACGATAAACCGCGCTATCTCATTGCGGTGTGAACAGCCTCAAAGTTACATTGCCAAATTTTATAAACCGACCGATCATTCGTCTAATTTGTGTTCTTTGGTTGCATTCAAATGATTGTTATAGTAGCATGTGTGTGCTTGTTAGTAGGCAACCAGGGGACCGACGGCTATATAAAGTCCTCTTCGAGGGCCTTGGTAATGAAGATTAATGCTTTAACAATCATGCTATGAACCTACCTTAGGACTGGGTGTGTAGACATTCAAGTACAGACAATCTTCAGATAAAACTGGGTAGGACAACGGTTGAGGAACTTGTTGACAGGCTGGTGAAAACTCCGTGGCATTCCGATCACCTTCCCAAGGCGTCATGGGCTCTGGAGGAGCGAACCGCGTCGGAGGACTAGCGAATGGAACGCCCTGTATCATAAGGACGGCATCACAGATGTGGGTGTATATTGACAAACACGCAGATTAAATCTTGATTTAGAGTAATACATACTCTGGTTTAATCAAGTAACACAACGTTTGATGTGAGATCTTTTGGACACTCACTTTAAATTTAGATAGTCATTCTTCAATTTTGCATATTTTGTTAAAGTGCAATTAAACCTTATAAACAACTTCATCTGATTAATTGATTAGAAATCGAAATATTAACCATTTTTTTGTTGTTAATGCTTGGAAGTAAAAACCGCTGAAGTTTAAGGTATCTGGAATTGGCGAACTGGTAATACCACATTAGCGATTACTGAATACGGAAACTGAAATGTGAAGAGAGAAGGGAGCTTGTTGAACTCGCAAAGGCGCCGTGGTTCGGCCAAGATTGCGAGAAGGTGAGTTGATAAAACTTGCCAAGGTGCCTTGTTTTCGAACGAGAAGGCGGCTTGGCGAGTTTTAACAAGTCTTTCCCTTGCCTTCTTGACTTAAACAAGACGTCTTGGTGAGTTTTAACAAGTCACCTTCTTACATTCTCGACTTAAACAAGGGGCCTTCTAGCCTTCTTGCCTTCTCATCTTAACCATGACCCATATCCGAGTTAGACAAGACTCCTTCTTGGTGCACGTTTAAGCCTTCGTAGTTAGTATATACTTCAATGTTCACCTATTTGAGATACCTGTAACTTCATCGATTTTTAAGGTGATGGGAGCCTTAGAACTTATAAGTTAATGCTGTATTCATTTTAACTCTACTGGATATATGTAATCGATCGTTCTTGATCTGTAGTTTGATAAGATAACAAATAATAGCCGAATCTATATCAAGCACATATCTCATTGGATGAACGAGGCCGCTAAAAGTATATACGAGGGCAAATCCAAAGTATTTGGTCATTTTGGTGTCCCATATACGTGACCAAGTATCTGTGGGCTCCGGACATAATGTGACATCAAGTCTCCCATTTTAGTTCATATTTGGTGTTACAGTAAAGCTAATTGAATTAATACCATTGTGGAATATAATGAATGTATAGGTGTGCTTGGTGACGTATGAGACAAAATACCTTGGACTTGCCCAAGACCATTACCCTCCCTTTAGCCAAGTTGCCCTAAGTCGCTGAAAACGTTCAAGATATGACACGGCGATGTGCCCATTAACTACACCTGGGTATAGTATCGCAAACGCAGCTTAATGTGTTGCTGGTATCATACATTTCTTTTATTCACATTCTTAAAAACACATGTAAATCTTTCAATAGAAAATTTGATGTAAATGCAAATATTGTAATTTAAAAGTAAACGTACATTATGTATGTTTTTAGTGATTGCAAATATCGGACTACCGTTTAACATGTTCAATAAGGATTTGTTTCTCAATATTTTCGTTTACCCCGATCTCATGAACTGTGGTATTAACAAAACAATTCATAATTTGTAACAACAAATCTTTTTATGACTTACTAGAAACATATCGACATTTTTGGTCACGTTGATAAACTGGTTCTCACTGAACTGGACGGTCTTTCCCACCAGATTTCCTTCAGTGACATTTACGCGAGGGTTTTGTCCAGATACGACAACGATCGTAGAGACGAAAATCGCCAAAACTTTACAAATCGGCTTCATTTTTCCTAAATCCAAACGAAATAGCTTCCTGGAGATGTGTTTACAATGCAGTTCCCAGAGTGTATAATCCACATATCTTATGACTCATCATATTTTAGAGAACTTTAAATTTCCTACTGTTTACAGTCTTTAACTTTGTGTTTACTTGGGATTGATTAAACAGTTATTCATTAAAAGAATATCATTAATGTCATGTCATTATTGCACCAAAACCAAACGTGTTCAAGTGCATATTTCTATGATGGACAAGACGGTTAGTCTTCGATCTTTGTACTGCCCTAGTGTACACGAGAGGTTTATCTCCTTTGTTAATGTTTTACTCCTTTCAATATAACCCTCACTCTAAAGAAAATTGAGAACATCACAGCCCTCTCTCTTCTTTTTACTCGCCTTTATTCGTCTTCAATCCCCGTCAATACAATGTGTCCCAGAAAAAACGAAACCGAGAATTATCTATGTTTTATCATAACTTAATCACAATTATAATAAATAAATGATCCTCTTCTTTCATTATTTTGAGGCAACTCATACGATGCATCTTTCACACATAAGTGATTAAAAACAATTTAAAGAGAGGGTACCAAAAAGTCATTTGGCGGGCCGTATCTGAATTTCAAAGAGAAAATCACATTTCTGGATGTAAGACCGTCCAGGCGCAATTTTGTCTGTTTTGGGCCATTTTTAGGCCATTTTCCTAGATTTTACAGACTTCTAACAAATTGCTTTGGATAGTCCGAGAGTTGCTCTTTCGTCTGCCACGTAAAAACACGGGCATCAATGCATGCATATTGTTCAAGCACGATTGCAGTTCCAGTTCTCGTTTGTTTTCGTTCTCGGATAGAGCGACTTGCATATATATATGTACACTTGTATGCATGTTTGTAACATTTTTGTATAGTACATACTCATGCGAGTGTGCATGTACGTGTGGTTGTGCGTCATTTTCCTTTTCTTAGTCACAGGTAATGGATGTTCACATATGCCGCGGGAAATTGCCGCGGTAAACCAGAGATGTAAAGTAAGCTCAAAGCGGTTCGTATTTATGTATCTTATTACATATAGATAGGTGAGTCCACGTAGGAGCCCATTGTTCCCTGCAGACTTGTTCATTTCTCACCCACTTACTATTTGTTTACAAGGGAAAGAAATACCGCTGCAGTTTGAGCCTTATTAGTCATTCCATCAAGTGCATGACGGCATCTTTCTATATATTTACACACCTTTCTTTCACAAATTTGCAATGTATTTATGATTAACGATAAGAGATGATTTCAGACACTGTCTTTCAGAATACTAAATAATGAGCAAACATTATGATACGCAAGGTATGCATGTTATCTTAGATCGGTGCAGAACAATAGTTATGATTAAATAATCAGAATGCTAGTAGGCATACAGACAGTTACCTTGTGCCAAATTACTTTATCTGCCCATGGATTTTAGCCTCAGACTAATCTATTGAAAAAGTCAGACTCTTTAATCACTATATCATTGTTATTATTATTGCTTGCTTGCTTGCTTGTTAGACGATTTTGAAAACGATGAAACACCATCCCACCCCGTTAAAAGAGATTGTACGGTCCAGACATCTTAGCAATGTATTGTTTGTTCACATTGCTCCAGAACGTAACGATGAAAAGCCGATATCCATACATGTATATATCCCATAACACATTACAAGGCTTTATTTTAATCTTTCTATTTATTTGATTCGTTCATAAACAAATTTTTGAAATTGCATTTTAGTACTTTTGAACTGGTTACGCCCTGAATATGATATGTCTACTACAGCATGATGTTCAGAGCGGTGTCATTTAGGGGCTCAAGCCACCCTTCTCCGATCCCGGACAGCCCCCCCCCCCAACAAAAAAAGTTATATATATATATATATATATATATATATATATATAAAATTAATTTACGCGAGGCTTATGTTCAAGTTGAATTGAATGAACGAACCCCTACCCCCCCCCCCCCCCCTCTCCATTGAAATGTTTTCTTCTCGAATCGCTCCTGACTACAACCGCGTTACTGGTCATTATTGAACAATGGTTATAGAAAACGATTACTGATCTACAGCCAGTTGATCAACGTTTGCCTTCTGCCAGTCAGTCATTTTATCCTTCAGGTCTTCATAGCTCTCTGACCACTCCTTCTCATCTTCGTCATTTGAGTCTATAGGATGAAGAAAAGAAACACATTTGGAATGAGGATAATAACCATTTTTGTTATATGTAGATAACTTTCAAACCCATGTCAATGTGGGTTTAATGATATAATCTTGCTTGATGATAATTTGTTTAATTGGTACGGATTCACTATTCGCATAATATATATTGGAATATAACGAACTAATGAAAAGTAGGGAACAATCAAATGTGAGTGTATACTTGGACTGTTTGTCAGTGTATATATTTATATTTATTTATGTGAGTATATTATTATTATCCATCCCCTCAGTTATCCTTTTTATATCTGGCAGTTAGAATAGTAACCTTCTTTTTTCTATGAAAGTAACTTCTGGGCAAGAAAGGTGAAAGAATCCATATGGATTAAGAGAATTAAGCCATCACTACACAGGGACTCTGGGTACCTCTTGTCACCGATCCTTGGTCCAGTGATCACAGGACACCAGGCAGTGCAGCAAAGCAAACGTGTGACTCAGACTGATCACTTAGCTTGAGAAAGTACACAGTAGTGGACGAAAGCTTGCATAACAAATTTAAGGTTGGTAGAAGCGTAACAACTACATGTGATCACACACGCCATTCTTTCTGGGTTTTTTCCTTTACTGTATAATTTCGATCACAGGAATCAAATAAATTGAATTTCAAAAGTAAAATGTATGAATAGAGAGGATATCATCTTAAAGGTACTAGGTCCCTTTTGCAGCCAACCTCAAATTCTGTAGAACTTTGCAGGAATTATGAATATGTCATGTATGTCCTATCTGTGAAATTTGTACGTTAGCAGTGTCCTAATATTCAAATTATGCAAGGAAACCCGTTTACTTGCTAGACTTCACGGTCAGACACTATTGAGTGACTGACTGGCTTTTTTCTTCTTTGGTAATAACATACATAAAATGAGCTGTAAAGGGTACATGAGCATTTGTCTACATCAATAACCCACTTCTTGTGATGGCCAAAATTAAACTTATTGAATCTTTGCGCAGCATAACACGTATGACCATTCGGTACAATGGTCTGAAAATCAAGACTATTACTTATTGGCTCTATAGCTCCTAAGTCGATTTGACAACTATGGTCGTTATTTTCCCACTTGAAGACATTTCCAAGCCCCACCTGTTTTGGGGAAGTTCTAAATTAGTATTATCTTTTAAATGCCATTGGAATTTAACCTTTTCACTTTTATGGCCTGCAAATGGGACGTAGTACCTTCAATGTATTTTAAAAGTCTAATAAAGAGATTTCAGAGAATAATAAAGTGTTCATAGGTTCGGTATGTCGTGGTTCCAGAAATGGCACTCCCGTGCCTTCAGTGCTCTGTCTTCACCAAAGTTTGGGGATAGTACCTTGTGTCTGAGCTCAGGGATCGTGTATAAAGGCCAAAAATCATATTCTTCTCCGGGTTCTGCACTAGCGCTATACTTGCCGGGGTCACTTAAGGAGATGAATGAAGTAATTATTATTGCAGTATTAATACTGATGAGGCTACCCTGGCTAAACAAGACATATTATTATTAGTATTACTGTAATTATTATTATTATTGTTATTTTTATTATCATTATTAGTAGTATTAGTTTTATAACAAGAGTAGTATTAATAACAAAAATAACAATAACGATAATGATAATAGTAATATTAATAATAATGAAAATAGTAATGATAATAACAAAAATAACAACAATAATAGTGATAATAATGATAATAATAATGATAATGATAATAATAATAATAGTAATAATAGCAATGATGATCGAAATAAGATTTTTTGTTTCTTTTTACACAGGGAACTCACTATCAGTGCTGTATTTAACTGAATGAACTGAATTTAACTACTTAGTCTGAATTTATGAATCGAATTTTAGTCTGCATGTTGAACTATCGCATTTGTTGTTACCTATGTCCAAGTTAAATGTTCTACTCTGTACCCATATGTATCTTATTGATGTTTATAATGTGTAATCTTGTACTGACATGCAAATGAAACAAATTTCCAATCATTGGACAATAAATTTGAATATGAATATGAATATGAATATGAATATGAATTTGCCAGGTATCTATTTACACCTGGGTGGAGAGTGACAAATGAGGATGATTGTCTTGCCAAAGGACGTTAGTTCCGGGCTGGGATTTGAACCATCAACCATTGAGAGCACAGTGATTGAACCACTAGACCACGACAAGTAAATGAATAGGATTCATACCGTCATACCCAAGGTTCTTTATAGCAGTATTTAAAATTGCAAGTTTTTAATGAAAGAAATAGCAATTTAGCATGTTATAGTAGACGGTATAATTTGTCTGTAACAGGGGAATTTGTTACGTAAATGGTTGTTGACTGATTCCAATTTTGTAGCAGATAGCTTCAAATCGGTTTAAACACCACTGAACCTACCCTGACTTAGCAAAGTTTGTCCAAAATTGCATGAACTTCACGGAGATGGCGTTCTCTTCATCTGTCACATTGTGTCCATGGACATGGTAAAGTTCATCGATGACGGGCACACCCCAGACAAAAGTAAAATCTTCCCGTAGCCTGCTCCTATAGCCATAGAGTGTTTGGAATCTGATCTCCTAGCCTGAAATAGCTCCTGTGCGTGCGCATTCAAAACAACCATGCAGGAAAAAAGGCTGTTTAGACCACCTTAATGAAAGAAAGTTGTACAAGAATCCGAAAAAATCACACTAAGAAAAACGCTCATTTTTGCTTATTAAACTACGTGATCTGCTGTACATAAATTGTTTTTTTTTCCTTTCTTTCTTCTCTTCTCTTTCCTTTCTTTTCCTTTTCTTCCCCTTTCCTTCTCATTTTCCCCTCCCCTTTTCTCATTTTCACTACAGCGGCGCAATTTTGA